ATAGATAGATAGATAGATAGATAGATAGATAGATATTTATATCTCTATATACATCTATAGATATATCTGTCTCTGTAGACATAAATAGATCTAGATCTATCTATATATATATATGTATAAATATAAATTGGAGGTATATAGTATTGGGATACATATATCTATATATTTTCACACATACACATTCCCCAATATTATCTATCTATCTATCTATCTATCTATCTATCTATCTATCTATCTATCATATTGGGGGAATATATATATGTGTGTGTCTTTGTGTGTGTGTGTGTGTATAGGGGCTATATAATATTAGGGGGCTATACATACATATATATACACACACAAAATATTGGGGTATATAACATACATAATATTGGGAATATATATTATAATATAATATTGGGAGATTGGGAGATATATACAGTATATCTAATATATAATATTGGGTAAATAAATATTAAGGAATGTATAATATATATAACATAATATTGGGGATATATGTAATGTTAGCTATATAATAATGGGGATATATATTATATAATATTGGGGAATTTAATATAAATATATAGTGCTGAGGCATATACAATATATATATCATATTGGAACTTATATATTTTGGGGGGATATATATAATACATAATGCATATATAATTTATATAATGTTGGCAGGGGGGATATCTTCCTAATATTGTAGGACGATTATATGCACTGAGGGAGGAAGGTGTGTATAATCTTAGGGGGTGTGCATGTGGAGGAAGGGGATAAAAGCAGGGGGAGGTGAGTATGCGATATGAGGGTGCAGGGAGAGATAAAGGTGCATAATGTTGGTCATGTGCTCCCTTGGGGAAGGCTGTACAACACTGGGTGGTGTGGAGGGGGTACAATATTAGGGTGTGGAGAAGAGAGGGCATGAAGTGTGGGGTGTTCAGGTGTGGGCAGCAGGGGGAATAAGAGGGAAGTATGTAACATTAGGGATAGTGGTGTATATGGTCCTGGGGTATTTAATTATGGGTTCTGTGCATGGGAAGGACATTATGCTATTGGGCTGATGAGTGAAAGGTGGGTACCTAATACTGTTGGGGTGTGCATGTCTGGGAAGAGGCGAATGATCCAGAGGGAATACACAGAAGGGAAGGGTGTAGTATTGATATGTGAGTGAGAAGAGGCTAGTGTTGCTGGGATGTGGGGGTGGAGAGTGGGAGTATGTAACCAGTAAGTTTTGGGGATGGGATGTATCATATCAGTGTGTGTGTATGGAGGAAGGGGTAGAGAATAATGGCATATAGGACACAAAAGGGTATATAATACTGGGGCATTTGTTGTGGGGAAGGATATAATGCTGGTATACATCTTCACGGGAGTTAAGGATACAACCTCTGAATCAGAACAACCCAGACCATAAATGCGGGAGGCTGCAAGTGAGAGAGGAACAGTGGAGAAAATAATTCTGGTCATACCCAGTTCACTCTCCCTTTCAGCATCCTCTCTGCCACTGTGTGACAGAATACCAGACAAGATGGACCTATAGTCTGACCCAGTAAATGGCAGTTCTTATGTTGTTATATGTATAGAGGGCGTTGTATAATGTTGGAGGGAGGGTATGTGATATGTATGGAAGAAAGGACTGGAATGTATAACAGAGGAGGCAGAGTACTGGGATATGTGTTTCTGGAGAGAAGGCATATAATAGTGTGTATGGGAGGATATACAGGGGTGCTGGGGTATGTACAGGAGGAGTTATAGTATATTGAGTATGAGTGCAAGGGAAGGGTTATTTATAGTGCTGGGGATATACATGTATGTGAAACCATGTTGGGTGCAAGATGTGTTTTTTTGCAGTATTGGGATATATGTACATGTGACTAAAATAGAATAGTGGGTACCTGTGTAATCTATCACAGGTGGTATTAGTATGTGCAGGTATGTATTTAAGGCGTAGATGCACACAAGCTGAGCATGTCTGTAGTTTCTGTTTTTATCTTTGTGATGAAAATGAACTTTTAGTGGGAGAAATGAAGCTGAGTGGACTAAAAGAGCGGAGATAAATGGTGCAGATGAAGTTTTGTCAGATCTCTGCCTTTCTTGCAGCTGCTATAATATATTGATTTCCAGCTATACAGATGTCTCCCGAAGTAGTGACATGATTCTAGTTCTGGGGCTTGAAACTGCCCATTTTATGTCTTGAAGCCATTTTCTATAAAGGATAAGGAATTAAAAAAATGTTCCAGACTCAGATTTTCTGCAGATCTTAAGGAGAAAATTGAACATTTTCAGGGATACAAAGTAAGTGTGTGTGTGTAATAGAAACAAAGGTGTATATGTGTGTGTGTGTGTGTGTGTGTGTGTGTATATATGTGTATATATATATATGTGTGTGTGTGTGTATATATATATATATATATATATATATATATATATGGGGGTTTGTATGATGATGGAGGGAAGGTATGTAATATGTATGGGGGAAAGGACTGTCGGACTGTCACTAGAATGTATATAAAAAGAGGCAGAATACTGGGATATGTGTTTCTGGATATATATATATATATATATATACACACACACACACACACACACACACACATTCTAGTGACAGTCTGACAGTCATTTCCCTCATACTTGTTACATACCTTCCCTCCATCATCATATAAACCCCCCTATACATATAAGAACATAAGAACTACCATTTACTGGGCTAGACTATAGGTCCATCTTGCCCAGTATCCTGAGTCACACAGTGGCAGAGAGTGGATGCTGAAAGGGAGAGTGAACTGAGTATGACCAGGATTTTTTTCTCCATTGTTCCTCTCTCACTTGTATGTGTGTGTATGAGTGTGTGTGTGTGAGTATATATATGTACATGTGTGTATATATGAGGAAGCAATGTGTGTGTGTGCATGTATATATATATACACACACAAACATATATGTATGTGTGTGTATATATGTATATGTGTGTATCTATGTATACACAAGCACAGACACACAAATACATATATATACACACACACATTACTTCCTTATATACACACACACATATATACTTATATACATATATGTATATATATGCATATATACTCTCACACACATATTATATATACATACATACAAATATATATATACACACATACATATTTATACACATACACACATATATGTCTATGTATGTATATATATATAAGGAAGCAATGGGTTCAAGCATATATCGTGATTTGTAAAGAGTTAGCTAGATGTAACAGGTAATTTAAAGAATGAACTTCCTAGGTTAAGCAACTTGGGCTTGGATGGAAAGTCCACCTCAACACAGTTAAGCAACTTGTCATTAAGTGGGCTCTTGTCTAACTTCTGCAGATGATGGATAACTGATTTATTTAATATTTTAAAATGCTTTGTTTTCAAACCAGTAAATTTGAACCATAATGTCCCTTTCAATTCTTAAAACTGGTATTTCATGCTCAGTAAAAATGAAATATAGAAATAATTATAACATATATTCTGAAAGACTAGTACATTATCCACAATGGTGCATAGTCTATCCTAGACATTTGCTTCTGTCAGAGACAAATGTGTAAAAAGAAAATAATGGAATAATTAACTAAAGGATTAAAGGGCTATGAAGATGACAGACAGTCTATAATGTGGTTATTATTAATGACGTGAGCCTGTTAAAAAACAGCACTACTACTAATTGAACAGGATTAGATCTGCTGGGAAGCTATATTAATACCTTAATAGAACTCAGCATAGACCTCAGTCCAACAGTGAGCTCTGTACAGGTAGATTTCAGCACCTTGTGAAGCCCTCTTGATTTTAATGGAACATTATTTACAGATATGTTGCAGAAAAAGGACTTTTTTGCTGAAGGACAATAAATTCAATCCAGGCTGCTTGAAATTTGGCAGGTGTGAAGAATAGATTTTGAACTTAGGAGCCCTTATGCCCCTTTTCCCACAATTTTCACAATTTCACATGCCCACACCTGACACTTGCCTTTCTTCCAAATCCACATAGATTTGACACCTATTTTTCTTCATTTGAGACCTATTATGAGCATTCATTTGTGGTCTATTAAAGGCTTGGTGTAAAACTCATTGAAAGCAATGGAAAGACTCCTACTGACTTCCAGACTTAGGAGGCGCCAGTCACCCATGTTAAAAATGGTCAAAATATTTTTTTCTAGTGTTATCATTTTAAGAACTCACATTTCATGAGCAATCATGCTCTTTCTGCCACTGGCAAGGATGGATCCTTAACATCCCTTACATGGCCCAGTGCTTGAGAATGTATTAGAATACATGCAGTGGACCAGCACTGCTTATGAGTGATTGATATTACACCTTAAATTATTGTAATTTTCTGAGAAAACATTATATTTGCAAGTAAGGAAGAACCATATCTACGGCTTCAAAACAAAGACTGTCTATACAAATGCTTGGAAGTGGAGGTGAGAGGCTTATAGCAGTTCTTGGACAGCTACTCTAATTAAAATGGCTCACCATCATCTGTATTAAGCCCCGCTGCATTTCAAAATGGGCAGAGAAGTGCTTTAACTAAAGCTTATTCAACAGGCTTTAGTTAAAGTGCCCCCACA